AGCTTTTGATTATTTTACTTTGATTAGAAATAAACTAAGCACTATTATTCCGGTAGTCTGACACACTCTGATAGACCAACAGACTCAACTGGCCGAGTTTATTTGTTGCCTGCTATTTTTTCAGTCTGTGAACTACAGACTATCAAACTGGAGTGTGTGACCGAAGACAATTACTTGAGTTGAATCGTTCTGTAACAATATAGTAATGTTCGTTTACCTGTAGCATCCTTCCGATGCCTAGCTGCCATTCATCTCAGAAGAAAACGAGGGCTGAGCTATAGCCAGATTGCAGAAGCCCCAAACAAGAGTATTCACGTTGTCTGGGTTGGACCACGGACTTTCAGGTCAGTAAGTTCGCGCTACTGAGCTATTTCGAGCTCAACAGTTCGGTAGAGTAAGCACCGGGCACCCAATGGAGCGAGGGCAACAGATTCGACGCAGACGCTCCACACACTGTGTGAGTGGGCTATGTCTGTTGAATTCTGATTCTTCTTGCTTCACAGTTCATACCTGCATGGATTGTAGCTAAAAAAACTCGGCTGAATCGGTCACCCAGTTCCTATGCTCTTTGTTTCACAGTCCTTGGCTGATCATTTTCAGGTCGGTGCAGATACGGGCATAGCTAACCAGGACGGTTTCTTGAAAGGAGATAGTTCCTTCTCAGATGAAATACATTCATTCCCACTATCACACAAAACTGAGGAAATTCTCAAAACACGACGTTATTCGACACTGAAATTCCTTCTACGTCTTTTGGGCTCATCGACCCCAAGCACAAAGTAACTTCCATTTAGAGGATAGAGTAATTGTGTAAAGAATAATATTTAAAAAACAGGAAGATACAAACATAGTACACGGTAGAACCATGGAAACGAATTAATGTTCGTCAAACTTTTGTGTGAATTCATTTTTAGGTTCCTTTCTTGGTGACTGACTGGGTTTCAGTTTTTGCTTTAGTCGTCCAGATTACTCATGATGGGAGAGTCCCATTGATGAGCAGTGAAGATTTACTGAAGGGGGAGCTAGAATTGTCCATTTAGGGTGTAAATTTACTAGAGTTGTTTTGGAAAAGGGGTTCAATGAAAACATTTGCGATGCACCTCCAGGCTTCGCTGGTATTCAATTTTCTTGAGGGGGGGGGGCTAGAATTGTCCAATTAGAGTGTAAATTTACTAGAGTTGTTTTGGAAAAGGGGTTCAATGAAAACATTTGCGATGCATTTCCAGATGCCGCTGGTAATCATTTTGACCGAATGGGTCGGACATCCATTGGAGTCTGATTGACTGGCTGCCGAGCCAGTCCCGGTGGTTATGGGTGTACAGCCTCATTTGTGTTAGCACAGCCGGGATTTTCCTGTTCGAATTACCCAGTGATCTTAAAAGCATGCGCAATAACCTACAGGTTATGCGTGTCACGCGGTGATTTTTCAAAGTTCCTTTCAAATGTTGCGCAAAATGATGAGTAGGGCACCACCGTCCTTCATGTTCTAAACCCTGTTTATGGACTCGGGGCAAATGGAGCATTGTCCTAAGTAATCATTGTTTTTGCATTCATTTATTTGTTTCCCTAATTTTTCCCTTACCATATTTTTAGAGGGAGTTATCGGGGAAGGCCGCAAGGGATCAATGGGATCAGGTAATTTTCGAAAGCTTCAATCCAAAAATCAACCTAATAAAAAATGGCCACGACTTTGGTGGCTGTCTTAAACAGGCTACGCTTGGAAGCCGAGATTAATTTGGAAGACACCATGTCTAACAGGGGAGTTAGATATGTTAATCCTAACACAAGGTAACAGTATGGGTGAAGAAAGTCCACATATTTCACCAGGCGTCTTCAGGTGTGGTTGCTTGCAGAATGGTGCGCTGCTGACGAACGTTCCCGGTAGCACAGCACGAGGACTGTTCAAACATCCTAGTTTGGCGCTTGACCCTTTGCGTGATGACTACCCAGATAAGTTACCAAAAACAGCAACTGCTAAAAAGGGGACCTACCGGTTGTGAATAAGGAGTATAGCTTTCGATAACTACACCCATATGCATTTCCATTTGGTTTTCACCCGAGACTCCACTGAATCTCTCGTTTATGATATGAATGTGCTGCACAAAGATCACCTCAGTTGGTACGAATCTGGAGGGAGTCAAATGACTCTCTCGTGAAAAACAAAGCGATATACAAATGAGTGTATTCCTCGAAAACAGTCCAATTTCGGTTCTGTTAGAAGGTAAAGTTCAAGGAAGCTCAGGGTCTGCGCCCAGCTGATGAGCCCCAAAAGGACGAAACCGGTCGTGGGCTGTCGAACAGCTCTCATTAACCTCGTAAAAAGTTTCATTAATGAAAAAAGGAATGTAGCTCTTTGGCTACAGCCATTGAAATACTGGATCAATAAATTAGAAAATAATAGTTTTCATATGATGATTTCCGCTCCTTGATTCAAACGATCCAGCGATTGAGTTGGTTACCGCATGGCCGAACAAATTCTACGACGGAGACACATCATCTAAACTTTGGACCAAGCTCAATCTGGAAGGTGGACCTCGAGAACCCGAAAAAATGGTGAAGATAACAGCGTTGTGGTAACATTGGCGAAGTCTGCTTCAGTTGCTATATTCAGATTACTCATATTTGTTGCAAAAACGTCAATCAAGTTTTGATCAGTCCGTTCCTCTGCCATGAACTTCCACACACTACTTCAGATCTACAATGTTGCGGAATATAGGTCGCACAGATGCGCTGCTTGCATGCTGTAGTTCTGTTAGCCGAGCTTGGCCGGTGGACTGTTAACGCCTCATCACTAATCGGGGTGACATCATCCGTGTGTGACTGAGCCAGTCGGATCATCTTAGGCCAAACCGTTCAAGTAAAATCAAAGCTTTCGGAAATATAAAATGACTTTCAAAACCTACCCGCAATAACAGTATTGTCCACCTGCTCATGTGACAACAAGACTCACCTGACCAAATTTTTCTGGAAACAGATAAATGTTATGCACTCCGAAGGCAGACAAAACGACAAAACATGCCTTTAATTTGTTGCAAGTTCTCCGTTTCATCCTTGAAGTCAGGTTTGTGTTTTAGGTGACTCATTCGGATGAACTGTCCGGGTCGTGAAACACTGGACTGTTGAATACTGTTGCAATATCATGTCACTGTGCAAACTTTCCGCTTCCCCAAACCCAAAAAACGTTTGCAAGTTTAAGACAAGTCCATTAGAAAGAGAGATGAAACTATAGAGAAAAATGTCGGTAGCTCAGGTAGCAAAGATGGTCGTTAGCTTGTTCGCTGAGCTGGGCAATGTGATTGCAAACGTTTCATCACCAATCGAGGTGACACCATTAGTGCGTTGTTGGGGAGCGTAGTGATGCGTAGCGCAGAGATGAAACTATATTTCCACAAAATGAAGATTTAGGCATGAGGCACATCAGGCCGTGCTCTCATCCGGGACTCTTTCGCGAGCAGTGGCCTGATAGCCGTACAACCACAAGGACTTTCGTCGATAGCCATTCAAGAAGCGGAAACTTGTCACCTAACCTGTGCGGTTTCTCGGTGTTTCACGGAACTAGAGGAGGAAGTTGGAGGAAATTTGTCCGAAACACTAGAGGAGTACAGAGTATGCGTTTAGTTTTTGTTGATTTTTTGACTGCTGACAGGCCACTCATACGTTCGAGTAGAGAGAGAACAGAATTTTATTTTTATAACTGTTGTTTGCACACTTGGCTACCCTCAAGACCGACTAACCGAAAATACCTCGGCACTATGTGAAACAGTCGGCGCGATTAAACAACTAAATGAAGCGTGATGACAAAAGGAGATCCGACATGGAAAAACTTGGTTTGGTCAAAAGGATGGTGTAGAGGAATCACCTTCCACGCAAAATACCAAGAAGCAGCCTGAAGGCTACATGCACTCCCTTAATTTAGAATAAATAATCAGTTTGCAAATAGTGCTATTTTTTCAATCTGCCCGTTGCCTGTTCAATAGATCTCTTCTTATCTTTGTGCCATTCAAAATGCGTTCGATGGGTCCGTTACCTGTAAGGTGCTGGCTTGACGATATGAGACGGTCTGTTCGAAACTTCTTGGGTATTTCGACGCCTTTTGCCCGGAAAACTTGTGCACGGTTCAGACAACGACTGAACGCTACGACTTTGGCATCGATTACACCGAGGATTTCTCCTAAACTAACAGAAATCTTCATAGTATACTTTGGAAAAAATGGTGTATTCATATGACTGAGCATTTAGGATCCATCCTATCACTGCACTGTCATCTACCAACCTATCGACCTTCTTCATCTCGCAAATTAAACTACTCTATCTTCCTAGATGTTGACATCAGACAAACATAGAAGTCTCACATTAACTTGATCCGTCGAAGGAAATATTTTTGTGGGAATTAAGTTTCGTACGTATATCTCGGTATAACCCAGACGAACTAGAAATCCAGAATTCAGATCAGCGTAACAAGTAGCACTTATGTATTCGAATTGGCGTATATGCACAGCATATGGAATATTAAAACAACAGAATAATGAATAGAGCAAGGAATAGAGTATCAATCATGTTCACCACAATTTTCTTCCTCAAACTAGTGACATATTAGGTAATCCAAGCTCCAACTTCGTATGAATTTATTCTCAGAAGATTTTCGCGGAAAGGATGTTTATTCACTTGTCACGTCACTTTTGCTCTCCACAAAACTTCCCCTTTGTTCACTTTGGTCTTTTCGATCGATAAAACCAATATGAAGGTTACGGAGCTGTTAACGGAAGTGCCCAACTGATTCGGTTCTCGTGCAGTCCTTTTGCCTAGTCCTTGTATACAAATGATTCCGACACTGGCGTACCAACAAATGTCGCCCATTAAGCGGCTCAGACAGTCCACGGATCATCGCGACTGGATCACACAAATCGCTACTTGTCAGGGGTGCGCATCCATGAATGAGATGCATGGTCCTAAAATCGTGTTGAAATATCGGCAGCTCGGGTGAGTGTATTGGACCCACCCAACTGCGCACTGATGATGTCTCCTCGTATGGTGACGAAACGCTTGCAAGCCAATTGCCACGCTCGGCCAGCAGATCAATAGCCACCTGATCAATAACCACTAAAATCTCATCTCTACCAGGCTTTAGCTAAATATCACTCGAATGGCATATATCACCCATAATTAGGATATCCAGTCGATCTAGTCTCATTTGCAGTTGGCATCTGTTGTTGTCCCTAGTATAAATGTAGGCACCATATTACAGTCAGTTCTAATTTGAAGTTCCTAAACTACGGAGAAGCAGAGGTGGTCGCAACTAATCGCTGTTCCTAGTCAAACGGTACTGTCTACGCCAACTCATCTCCAAGAGCACGCGGTAGACCGATTTGGGTAACAAGTAAAATTATCCACACCATGATGCCAATTGATTAAGGTCAGTACATTCTATGTGATTTCAGTTTGAGCAGATTTTATTCGGGTATCCACGTGTAAATGGCAACATTATCTCCACATGCATTGTCTCCACAGCCTGTGCATAGGTTGCGCTGGCTTGGCCACGTGCTGCGTAGGCCAGTCGACCGACTTCCTCGAAGGGCTCTTTTCGCCCAACCACATGAACGGTGGAGGAGAGCCAGAGGCGGTCAAACAATAACTCGGCATCGAAGTGTGAAGGCCAGTACGAGCAAACTCAGCTGCGCTGGTAATTGCGGTCTTCCTGGATGGGGGCCCCGAGACGGTCCACATCAATGGTTATAGACATTGTCAGACATGGCCCAGTCGCGCCCTCAATGGCGCTCGTGTGTGCAAGCTACTACTTTCAATGCATAGCTCCCTTCCCAATCCCCCCACTTGACAGCACACTGACAGTGCTGGATTTATGCACCAATTTATCATCTCCCGCCTGCAATGTGCAGCCACCTAACCCCCCCCAATCATCGGTGGACGAAGCTGTGGCAGCTACAACCAATGTACGACGAGTACGCGGTTATTACAGCTGACAGTGATGATTGATGATGATGATGATGAAATGGTAGTGTTTTCAGCTTCCATGTGTTCGGTTGTGGACTGGTTCGTTAACAGCAATTGGGGGACAGCTTTTTTAGGACTGGAACTGCTGCACAGTTGCCTTTGTGTCTTCAGCAAGCGTTTTCTTGTACATTGAAGCGTATAGGAGAAACCTAGGCAGACATGCCCCTTCCACAGGCTTCTAAAGCCTCACGAATTTCATTCGAATTGCCGTAACATATACTTACTTCCGACTACTACGTCAATGACAAACTTAGTGGATATCGGCCATTCAGGGCACATGTGTGCAAAACTAGTTTTGTTTTGGTTGCCAACCAAATGAGCCCAGAAAACGTTGAATTTTTGTGGAAAAATACCAACAACTTGGGTTATAGTGGTCAGTTTGGTGTCTGGAATTACTCTGCAGCTTTTCAAAAACAGTCTAGTATATAAATATATATATATATATATATATATATATATCAGTTAGCTGGTACCTTTACTATTTCAATCTCTAAAGTTGAGACAGTTCATCCGGCCCCAAACTGATCCGATTCAACCTGTTTCACTCTTGATATTCTGTTCTAGGTAGCTTACGGTCCTCTTCAAGTAAGTCTGATAAATTATCTTGTGTTTGGTCTGCCTCCAGAACGGGTCCACATACCGTTCTTTTCCCACAGTCTGTCTGGTTCTTACAAATCAGTGAGAAAAATGAATGTCTCCGAAACTCTATGTAGCTAGTGAGTGCCACATGTGTGAGATCAACTGAAGGGAAATTGCGCTGAATGAAGAAACTATCTGGACTGGTTCAAATTGTTTTGGTCAGTCTTCAATGAAAATTGAGTCACTTAGATTGATGACGTCCCGTATGTAAGCTTTGCTGTAAAGTGATACGTCTGTTGGTAGAAATCCCGGATTGAGAATGCTTGTTTGTCTTGGAGAAACATTGGGATGTCTGAACGAATCCGGACTAATAAGACAAGGGATTGTAATAGGGTAAGGATGGGCGTACTAACAAAGAATCAACATTTGATCTCTGTAATCGAGACAGAAACATGAATCACGGGGAGGTAGGAGATAGTTGTGATATTGATTAGTGATGAAAAAGCATTGAGAGGGCTATAAATCTCGTAGCTCAAACTTTCGATCTCGTGGATGGACTTCCTTCGGGATAAATTAATCGCGAAAGGCAGGAGGAACATGTTTGCCTGTTGTCTAGCAATGTGCTGCCAGTCTTCATCAATGCTTTCATCGATGTTACATTGGTGCGGGTTGTGGCTGGGGCCAGTCAGTGACGATATTAGTTGCTGGTGACAAGTCCCGACCACACAGTGAATATGGGAGGAGCGTTGTTTACCTCACTTGAAAGAAAAAGTGGGGTATTCATAGGTAGTAAATACCTGACGAAATAAAGACTGACCATAGACTCTTGAACACCTCAAATTTCAGCTTAGACACAAGCTACATATGCCCCTAGAACCGTTGGATTTTACGTACATGATGCGTACGGAGAGCACAGGCGGCCAGAGTAAATAACGTTTAACACAGGGCGAAATGAGCAAATTTGAGGCAGACGGGCTGATCACGT